TAACGCGACAAATTCGCGTTTACTTATTTATTTCAAGCTAATTAAGGCAATCGCGATGATGAAAAGATAAATCAAACCAAAAACGTATTAAACATAACGCTAGATTTCGAAATTAACAATATTCTCAGAGCGGCTGAAATCCTATTAAGGATTTGGAGCGACGAACGACATCCCCGTCGCGGGCCGTGATTGGTAGCTTATTCTTATTCTGAGAGATACAGGCATTGAGATGTTTCGATCAGATTAGTTTTTGTTAAATCTCGTATAGGATGACAATAACATGACAGTCCCAACATATGGGAATGATTTCTTAACTCCGCGTGGAATTATCCTGCCTAGAATTTCATCGCAATACATCGGCACATGGCACGCGCCTCGCGGGTGCTTTGATTGGCTCATACGACACACGTGTCACATTCTGTCATGTCGGCATGACAGAATCATACTACGCCTGATAAGTTTCTCGCTAGGAATATCCGCAATTAATTAATAGAAATACTTTAGAAAGACGATGTGAGATTAAATAAAAATAAAATAAAAGAAATAATTCAGCGCGAAACGAAAAGACAAAAAAAAAGAAAGTAAAATTATATTTTTACGGAGGGCAGGACATAATAGGGTCTACAGGGAAAAAGATTGTAATTTTGCAACAATGTATGAGTATATTATAGCATCATAAATATGCATACTTATTTTTAGAACATTTGTATAAGAAAAAAATCACTAATTTAATGATATCAAAGGATATCACCCCGCACATATCTTACGGAAATTGAATTGCCTGAAAATTTGATATATTGTAGATCTTGTCGTTCTGATAAAAAGTCTCCCTGTAATGAACCATTTGGCCTCTACGAGATGTCATTTTTCAAAACGGGCTAATACTACAATATCTTATTTTCAACGAGTATGATGTATTTCTACGTTATTATTTGCTCTTTCTGTGTATATTTTTAAGTAAAAAAATTACAAGGATAATTAAAAAAGCTATAAGGATATCGAAATCAATAACTTGATTTTTGAGATTTACATCAACGCGTGTTGCTTCAGGTCTAGAGCGCGGAATTTTTGGCACGATGGGGTGCACATGAAGAACTTTGTTTATATTGAGTAGACTGTATGCCAGTTGAATTATTACTATCTCATTTCAGAATATCCGGCTTGTATGCAGTGAATCTTTGTATGCATCCCGAGATCACGCTTGAATTTCTGTGACCTATTAATTCTTTTCAGAGCAAATCAGTTGTTTTCACAACTACTTTTACAAATAACTTCTTTTTAGAGCTATTTTTCACAACAGTTGTTTTCATAACTACTATTAGTTCTTATCAGTTAAGTATTTCTTTCTTGTAAGAAAATTATATTTTTTTAATAATAATTCATTTTTCTATTGTATCTTAATACAAAACTCATAATAATCAAAAGTATCCCACGCGATTTGTGAGAAACAATCAATTGAGTATTATCCTTTTTAAAATATACATACCTTAAAAATATACATAGAAAGTGCAACTAATGACGTAGGAATGTACTGTACACGTTGAAAATAAAAAATTGTAGTATTAGTTCGCTTCGAAGAGTGACGCCTCGTGGAGGTCAAACGGTTCATTTTTATTACAGGGAATTGTGCCTAATGAAGACTTTTTATCAGGACGACAAGATCTACAACATATCACATTTTCAAGCAATTCAATCGAAATTCAATTTTTATAAGGTTTATGCGGGGTCCTTTCAACCGGATATATTCCCGGATATTCATAGTATCCAGCTATCCGATCGGTTAGTAAAAAAGTGCTGTATACCGGATACTTTCCAGATATCCGCAGCCCTAGTCAATAGTACTGATACTCGATGTAAGGTTGTAAAAATACTATAAATATGGATGCGTACTGTCAATATTACTAATCAGTATTATTGATTCAATATTACTAATCAGTATTATTGACCGTGTAGGATCACCTTAATAAAACTTTTCGATAACTTTATAATATTTTTCTTTCCGAGATTGTGACACAGATAATCAAACAAAATAACCAAAAAGATATTACGATGTGAATGTTAGTATGAATATTAATGTGTATACTAGAAAATAAGTACTTATATTTTTTATACATTCTTCATATAATTTTTTATTATAAAGACATATGTCACGATTATAATAATTAAAAGTTAATTTTTTGCATAATAAAATGCTCGATTCATTCGAAATCATTTATTGAACATTTTGCAGGATCAAATCAGCCTCGAAGAGATAAGACAATTCAATTAAATTACTAAACTCTAGTAAAATGAGATTTGAGTAAATCTCTAAACGTAGAAGCGCGAGCATAATTAAAGTGTTTAATGTTGTGGTCTAGTGTATTCTCGTTTAAAACCTCGACGAAAGTGATTCATAACTTTCATTGAACATTTGAAATTAAATTGTCACAGTACACCAGGTCATGCTCGGACCGTTTGACAATCTAAGATGATTATATTCATCGATGTTTGTTCGTAGATAGAAAAATCCTAAGCGAGAAGACATTTTACGGAGCTTTTGTTCTAGTAGACCTTCAACTGATTGTTGTCATCAAAGCCGGCGCTGTGACCTGCATTTCTCACGATGAAGCTAGTACCATCGTAATGCATACGACGCTCACCACGACGTACAAACAGATGAGACGTTTGTCCTAAGGACGCAGTACAGTGCAAGAAGGGCGTCGTCAATGAAGCCGTACCATTACTAGGGGATGTACGTAGTTGGTACTTGTTGCTATTTCGTGCAATCCTATTGTATAAAAAGGATTAAGGATACATTAAAAATAATTTAAGAATATATTAAAAGTGTATTAAGAAACAAAAAATTATAACCTATTGTATCTCTTTGATGTATAATCCATCATTATGGAAAAACAATATTTTACCCAGTACATATGTATTTCTCTCAATTTAAGAGTCTACAAATTAACATGTATAGATAATCTTTAGGAAAAAAATAGAAATAAGATATTTTCTATAAAGAATAATGTAATTCTCCTTCTTAATTACACAATAATGAAATTTAACATCAAATGTTTTGATCAAATTAATTGCGGACATTTTTAATTTTATTTATTAAGTTTTCTTTAACGGATTTTTTTCTGATTTTTTATTTTTAAATTTATGATTTAAATTCGTTCGTTAGGCTTTAATTGTTACCTGACAAGACCATCGGGAGTCTGGGATACTCGGACGTTGTTAATAATCCAATTTTCAACACCTTCATCCGTTTGCCAGTATTGAGATGTACTCAGATGTGCCGCAACTTCCTGCAAACATGCTGGTCCATGCCGAGAGCCCGAATAGAAGACACTCAATGAAAAATCCTACGAATTATTAGTAAAGAATTGCAATAAATTTATTATATTCTTCATGAAATTTTATTTTATAATTTCTAGTTGTATAGTTATTGAGATAATAATTTAAAACATTTGTCTTAACCACTTTATGTCACCACTGATTTGAATCAATATTAGTCAATGAATTAATAGGACATTTATAAAAAGAAAGGTTTTAATTTCACAAAATTAGTTTTACATGCTTTATGAGAGTAATAGTTTTTTAAAATGAAAATAATTAAATTAATGAATAATTTTTGATCGAAAGGAATGATATAAAATTGTCGACTTGAAATTTTTGAGAAATGCTCATTTAACAAAGCTTATACAATATAAACATATAAAAAAAAACCAAGAAACTATTACTTAAAATAAAAAAAATAAAAAAACAGATTTAAGCTATAAGTCTAAAAACCAAAATAATTGTGTGCGATTTGAATTGGAAATAAAACAATATTTTGAGCTGGTTAGTATCCATGAACATAAAATAAATCTCCGCTCTATCTGGCTCGTCCTACCTGGCTCATATCCGAGAAGGAATCCGTTGTGGTTCTAGTACCAGCCGTGTCCACCAGGTAAACAAGCGCGCATTGCTCCGATGTGAAACTGACCCCCTTGTACCACATCTTTGCATATCTATTAAAACAAGCCGTTCAGTATTAATTAGTAATCACGTAATGATAACACTTGAACTAACTTATTATTGCCATGTGTATCATGAGCGACGATCTCCACACGGGAACCATACTGATATATTCTGCCATTGGGATGCAGCAGCGCGGCAGCAGCTCCGGAACTGCTTAGCGACAGGACAATATTGTTCTACAAAAATGAAAAACAGGATGTAGCTCTGAATTTCCGGATTTGTGATCAGATCCTCCATTTTATGAATGTCAAAACTTTACATAATAGCTCTGTATTATTAAAAGAAAACTTTTTTTAACATTAATTCCTTTTTAATAAAAATTATTATTGTTTTTAATTAATATTTTTTATATGACTTTATTTAATTATTTTATTGAATATTTTATATCTAATTTTTTATACATTTAAGAAACGAAATGTAAATTTGAATTCGTATATTAATTACATCCTCTATTTCATAAATCTCAAAATCTTACACTGCAATTCCGTATGATTAAGAGAAAAACATTAATTATTTCAACATTATTTCTTAATTAAAATTTTTTTTTATTAATAATGTATCTAATTTTTAATATGACTTTAAATATTTTGTCAAATATTTTTTTATATATCTACATTTAAATACTTTATTTTATTATTATATAAATAATATTATAAAAATAAGAAAACATTTGTAGACAGTCACCTTGAAGTTGATGACTCTGACGGCGCGGTCAATGGTCATGTCCACTCGTATCCTGTTGTGCAACCTCAACGATATAGTACCATGAGGAGTGGCGACGACACCTCCGACGTCAGCGTCATGTTCTCTCCAGTTCTCCGTGTAAATGGAAGCTTCTTCGGCTGCATAATAAGGTCCACCAATCGACTTTCTAGCCTGCCGCCAAATTGTCGCCGATCCAGAGTACGCAGTTGCCCCACTTAAACCGTTCCACTGTTCGGCCGGAGGTTCAAAGTACTTGGACAGGTCGCTATATCGCTATAATATCATATGGAAGAAGCTTATAGAAGTCACTATAATAAATTTCTATAACGGTCTTAAAATTTTATAATATCTTGAGCAATTATGCTTCCAATATTCCAAAAATTTTGGAAAAAATTTTCTTTCGTTTTTCTTTTACTTATCTTAGCATGTAACTATTGTAATAGAATTTTTATTGGTATGTATCGACTATATACGATGTGAATGATTATAAAATATATATGAGACAGATTTTTATAAAAAAATTGGTAGTATTTCTTTTTTTACAGTTATATGTATATTATTATTTTCTTTAGTTTTTTATTAGTTTTATTTTGACTAATCTTTAATTATTTTTCTAAAGTATACGATCTAAATAAGCAAAATCACTTTATTTTTATTTCAATTTTTGTTAATACTTGGAAGTCTCATTCTTAAATACATACGACCTATCTTTTAAAAGTTACAGATATAATAGATTAGGAATAAAAAATAAAATTCAAGAATGTACTTGAAAATTAGGATCCTCGGGCTGAGAATGATAATTGTGTGAAGTATAAAGAGATCGAGGTCGCATGGCTGTGGTCGAGCTCGTTTGGTTCTGTATTGTTGTTACCGAGTAAGACGGTGTTGTTTGCATGGCTGGCAGGACGAAAGACTTATGTATCTCTTTTCGGAATTCGGTGCAAGTATTTGCCATTTCCTTTGCCTCAAAAGATATAAATCAATATTTCTTTATTTCATTTTCCTTGGATGAAAATGGTACGACTATTTTCAAAGAAAAAATCTCAAAAATTAAAAGGAAAGATTTTGAGAGCGGAGAAAAAAATTAAATTTTGAAATTCTTGAAGCCTTAAATTTTTCCGTTCATAAAATATTACGATTCAAATCTAATTGTCTAATAAATCCGAGCTCCTTTCTTTCCTCCAGTTAAAGTTTAAATTTTTATATATATTTTAATCAATGCGTTTTTTGGGCTTTCGAATAGCTAAATTCTGTTAAATTATTGAAACAAAAAAAATTATATGATTGTATTACAACAAATTGCAAATAAAATTATAAATGGCAAGAAATACAAAAGGAGAAACCTCGCGTCAAATGCGAGAAACACACTTTGGAGTCACCGGCGGCGGCAGCGTTCTTCGATTTCTTGCGCCGGGATTTCCGGTACTTGGTGACCGCTGCCTGGTCGGCTTCGCTTGTGTGATCCACGATTGAAGCGATTTTGGATTCCGTGGAACGGTTAGATCGTGTCTCAGCGCTATGGCTATTCGCTCGCGTCAGCTCCAAGCAGAAATTCGCATAGGCGAAATGACGCTGCGCTGACAAACGAACATCTGTCGCCCTGGCAATTCATCGGAAGACAATAGATGATCCATTCACAATGGATTTGGAAGCCGTGGCCAACGTAGATTTGCTTACGTGATAATCAACGGTAAAAAAAAGATATTCAATCAAAGTGTAATTTTCAAAATTGTATAAGATTCAAGTCTTACATGATATATTATGAAATTTCACGATCGAATATCTTTACTTTAATTTCGAGTATTGAAAGAATGGATTTCTATTTATTTTTGTATATGGTTTATAATTGGTTTTTTATTTACTATTTAACTTATTGTATTATAATTAAACCTTAACTTGATGTTTTATCCAATGGGCTTCATCTATGATGATGTTATAAAGTGAAGCTCATTAAGTGAAACATCAGGTTAAGTTTAACCACAAATTAATCACCCTGATAGCAAAATGTTAGCAATTTGACAGCAAACTCGATCAGATTTTTGACTATAAAACCATTATAGTCATCTATATCTACATTTGGCTATGGATTTGTCAACAAACCCTGCTGACAGGCTATGCCAGCAGGTTGGTGGCAGAAATCGAGCAGAGTTTGTTTGAAGAGTTTGTTTGTCAGGTTCTATTCTTAATAGTCTCAATCTGTTTTCAATCTGCCGTCAGGTTATGCAGGACTTTATTCGATTTCTGTTATCAATCTGCTAGTATAGTATGTCTACAGTATGTCATATTTCTGACAACAATTTGCTGACAATGTCAGATAATACAAGCAATGTGTACAATTTATTGCCTTTCTGCAATCAAAATTAATTGATAGCAGGCCCTGACAGCAAAGTCTGTCTCCGCAGGCTTTGCTGTCAGGGCAGCAAAAAAAAATCGGACCTACGAGTATTTAGGATATTTGAATATTCCCAAGGTAAAAAAAATGTACACATATATAATCAAATATATATGTATAAGTATACATATATATATATATTGGGTGGTCCGGAAAGTCCGTGCGGATTTTACAATGAAAAATTGTATATACGATACCTTCGTCAAAAATGAACGAAATTTAAATTTAAAAAAAGGGTTTTAAAGCTTGAAATCTCTACTTTTAAAAGCTTATCACATTTTTTAAGTTTATATGAGTTTGATAATTTTTACATACCAAAAACTACGAGCTGAAAAAGATAAAAAATTTTCTTTTCACTTTGGGGGTCTCTCACGTGCCCAAAAAAAATTTACGAAAATTTTCGACTACCCATCGTGAAAACTTAAAGCTTTTCCTACAAAATCATTTTTTAAAAATGTTCCTATAATTTTTTGTTTCTGAGTTATTCGCGAGTTAAGTAAAGAAGCATTCTGATTTCGATTGCTCATAACTCCGATAAAAATCATCATATCGCAATTTAAAAAACAGATTCTTAAAGCTGAAACTTTGCTCTAGCGAATGATATAATCGTAACGAAAATTTCGCAACAAATAAAAAAACTTTTGAAAAATCAATGAAAAAATCCGCACGGACTTTCCGGACCACAATATATACATATTTATTTATTATATCGTATACATTTATGGACACTGATGTTGTTATACTTTTTTTTCGATGGTTTTCAGAATATGTAAAAATTTTCAAAATGTGATTCACTATCTATGGAGCATGTAACAAATAAGCGGTTATAACAGCTGTCAAAATGATACGGAATCGAAGCATGGTAAATAATAAAAAAAGTAAGTCAAATGAACAATTTCAGTTATTAAGTTTATTAATATTTTCAATGCGTTAAAAATTAATATAAGAGAATATAACTAACGTGTAATATATAATAAAATTATACATTTACGGGGCGGACGATTTTAATTTATTCAATCGATTTTCTCAAAATCTGTAAGTTTAAAGGCTCATCTACACGACAAGCGTAATACGGCGTTAAAGAGCGCAGGCGCAGTTGCAAGAGGATTATTCCCGGTCGTAACGGCGTTGCGCAATTGCGCAATAGAAATAAATGAATTTTATTTTCAATGCCTGCGCTTATGTTATGCAGGCTGTTTTCACTGATTTTATCACATTTACACGATTTGAGTCATTGAAAATATGGATGAGGAATTATTAATTCCAAAACACTATTATGTGTCCTGATAATAATGACGAAGGTAATAATTAATCATTAATACGTATCAGAAGAATGAGATATACGTATTTTCTCGTCAGATTCTATATTATAGCTACTGAATTTATGTTTACACAACAGCTAATACTATTAGCAAATGTAAAAAATTACAGCAGTTTGTTTTTCATCATTTATTTGTATCACAACTCCAACGTTTAAAGCCTATTCTACAGTGCTCTTTGAACAGTGCTCTTTGTTTCCTGATTTTTGTCTCCTGCTTCTTCCTCCTTTGCAATCGTTTTATCAACAATTGTATTTCTTGTTATGTGTTTCTTGTTTCTTCCGAAGTTTGTTAAAGAAGCAAAAAGACAAGATGTAAAAAATAGCAAAAATCAAGAAACAAAATAAAAAGCACATTGTAGAATAACCATAATCGATCGTATATGTTCTTCCGCTTGCTTCGCGCCTGCATCGCGCGTTCCTGTGTAGAAGATAATGGCTATGTTCCAAAATTGACTGCCAGTACTGAAAATTTATAATGCACATAACGTAAACTGTAGCATTTTTAGTGGCAGTAAATTTGGAATACAACCATCGATTACGTTTACACAACTCAATTTGCACCGAAGTTATAACGTCGATGTTATGAAACTGGTAAATCATAGTTATTCCTCTGAAGAATGGAATGATATTGTGAGTGACCAGTTTCCTAACATTGATGTTACAATTTTGGCATAAATCGAGTTATAAACCTACTCCATTGACGCACTTCTTGCGCTTACGCTTGAGCTTGTGCCTACGTCTTGCGTCACGCCTAGAGAGCCTCACAGGGAGAGAGTGGCAAACTGCATCACGTGATCTGGTCTCCTCTGATTGGACCTGGTAATCAAGCTCTGTAGAGCCATGACGGGGGTATGCCGTTTAGATTAAATGATTGCAAAAGCAGTACGCTTGTCACCTTGTGCTGCTTTTATCCTTATATATATATTAATTTTACAATTGATAAGGTCTTTATAAGTGATACATATTATTGTATACGTACTATTGTACATATAATACATGAAATCAAATAGAAATTCCGGCAGCATCAATCCATTTTTGTCTCGAATTTGTATCTTGGGCAAATATTGTGCAGCAATATCCTTTTTTATTAGAGTTTGTACATCTTGGAGCACTGTACCTGGCAGGCATTTTATAATATGCACAAATCCTGTTAAGATATCTGAAATGTAAAAATTCGTAGACAAAAATGTAGTCGTTTTATTTTATGTATACACACACACATACGCACACGCACACGCACACGCACGCACGCACGCACACAACTGAGCCGAACCATAAAGAATTTCACACTTCATGGATATATATATTATTTGCCCGTCTTCTGCGCTTGACTCCTGCTGCCCGTGTCCTTTCTAGTTCTTTGATTTATAAGCAGTCTTGATTAGTTTGATTTATTATACGGATTTAATAAATTAAGGTTTGAAAGTAACTAAATTATGTTAAAAATTAATGCATTTAAAATTAACTAAATTAAGTTACGAGTTATTAATTTTTTAACTTTTTTTTTTAACTTTTAACGTTTCAACTAGTTACTATCCAACCTTGTTATTTCGTAAGTACAGGTTGCAAAACTTTTGTATCAAACAAATGTTGTCACGACTTGACAGCTTGAAATGCCATGTTACATTAAGAAATGATAAAAAATATATCAATTTCGAAATTTTTAGTCAATTTAGCATAAACTCCACCTCACAAACACGTCTTAAATGTACTTTAAAATCCTGGAAAAGAATTTTCAAATTTGTGAAAAAGAAAATAGTATTTGTTATATTTGCAAAAATTATATGATGTAGTCGGTAATACGGACGGCTTTAGGATCCCCGACTATTGAGGTTAGAAAATTGTCACAGCCACGAAAACTACTGTAATGCGAGCGGACACATGCGCTGCGGTCACATGTTTAATATTAATTAGTTCCTAAAAATAATTCTCTGCCTTAATTACTCAAATCTCTGCTGTACAACACAAAATAGTACTTTAAAAACAAATTCTTTGTTCTATAATAAATTCTCTGATTTACAAACAAAAAATCAGTGCTTCAAAAATAAATTATTGTTCTAAAATACGAATTTACTGCTTCAAAATTGTCTGCTCTAAAGCCGGTATTCATAGTCAGTTCTTATATTCAAGACCGTCTTAAGTTTAGTCTTGAGATGTCACGAACCAATCAGAGGATCGCGTTAGCGTCTTAACACAGTCTTGAATTTCTTAAGACGGTCTTGAAATAAAAATTGACTATGAATACCGGCCTAAAACACAAATATTATTGAGTACAGAATTTGTTATACAGTACAGAATTTATTTTGATTGTATTGAATTTGTGTTTTAGAACAAACAATTTGTTTTTAAAGCTGAATTTTTGTTTTGTAAATCAGAGAATTTGTTATAGAATAAAGAATTTTTATATGCGTTTACTTATATTGCTAATTTTAATATAATATAATTATATATGAAAATACATTGTGAAAGTATTTTGACGGATAAAATATTTTACATATATGCTTTTACGATCCGTCCGTGTGACTGAAAAAAATTTGAAAATTGATAATGTGATATAAAATGATACATTTTACGCACTTGATCTCGAGATTTTGATATTAGCTGCACCAATTTTATTCAGATTAATTGCAATGAATTAATCGAAAGATTGCAATAACATTATATAATAAAAGTATTGTTAGATTTTTCGTTGCAGTTTTAGTTTCTAAATAATTAATTTTAATCGAGAAATGTCAATGTTAAAACTCCGAATAAAGCTAATGGTAGAGCTCAGAAATTGATAGTGACATTGTACACAATGACGTTCAGGCGTCACGCGATCACGTGGCCCGTTTTACATTTCTATGTCCTTGGCATCACAATGTTATCACGTTGCTTAATTTTCTTTACGTTGCAGGAATTTATTTAAGTCATGCTCACGTCACATTACATACGTGGTCACGCTCTTGTTTTTTTTGTGTTGATTAAAAACGCAGCATGAAAATGTTTTGCATGTGCATAATTGCACATTTGTATCTTTAAATAGAAAATTAAATGAGGAATTAAATAATTGAAATATTAATCAAGAATAACAGTACCGAATTTAAAAGCTCAATATTTCAAATGACTATGGATTGTAAAATATTATATATAATACAAAATTATATATTATAATACTTAATTTTACAACACAATTTACAATTAATAATACTTAACTAATAACAATTAGGAACTTTTATGTGTATAAATTATGGTATAATAACAAATCGGAAAAGGCCTTAAACTCTCAAGTTGAATCTTTGGTGCTTAAATAATTTTGTATGAATTTATATACATATCCAATCCTGCAAACTGCGCTCCAAATTTAATTTTTTTTCTTAAAACACAATACTAACAGAACTAGAGCATCGATATCACAAATTAAACTGATAAGCAATTTATTAATATTAATACTTATAAACATCTTGAAAGATGTTAATAATATGATGCTGATAAGCGTTAAATCTGTAAATAATTTTATTGCAAGAATTATTTCATCCAGAAATCGAACCTGCAAATGTCTGAATTATGATAAGAATTTTCAACAAATAAATATTTAATTACAAATATTTAACTATTATAAATTTTTTATTTATCTGGAATTTATATCTAACGAAAATTAAAGATTTATTCAAAAATATCAATGATTTATACAAATCTGCATAATTCTTATTTTCGCTCTGGTGTGATATTTGCATACAATATTTGTGCGCATATATTAGTACATGACTCTTATCTCTTATGTAATACGTACATTAAGAGAAAAAAAGATTGCAATTACCATAATATATTGAATTTATAGTCTTTTTAAGACTGCTATATTTGTAATTATTTTAACTATGCAAATACACTTAATTGTGCTATTAATAATAGTCACATACAATGCTTGAAATTTTTTAGTTTTTTTGTTAATATATTTTTTAATTATTATTACTACATAAATAGTAATTAAATTTAGGAAAATAGATATATTCATTATAATTGCGATTGCATTTATTGAATAAAAATGTTTATTTTATTTATTATTTACATCTTAATATTTTACTGTACTAATATTTAAAATTATTATAATTTAAAGTATAATTTTTTCATGTTTGAAAAAACTATACATATATAGTTTTTATTATTGACATTATAGCAGTAATAACCATAACAATAGAGCTTTTATTGACGAGTATTTTATCATATAATTACAGTCACAAATATTAAACATTTTTCTCTCAGTGTAATAACGATGAAAAATTAATGACATAATCAGAAAATAGAAGAAGAAACAAAGAAACCGAATTATTTAAGATTTCATTACGCGACTCGTGATTGATTGTTAAGATTGGTTTAACGATGTAATGTGCAATATAATCAACAAATTTACAAGCTCTACAAGCTAATCGGTTTTACCACAGAGAGGGGATGCCTGATTTTATCTACGCGCACGTGTCACGGACCTATCTTTCTCAGTACATGGTTGTACACGTCCATATGTGTTTCACAGTTCCTCTTGCAGGTTTATTTGTGGATACACGGTTCTCTGGTTCACGATTAATTCGGCATGATCCCCTCGGCAACAGCTCTTCCTTTTTTTACACTACTCACATTGACATTAGGTAAATGTAAGAGTTTTGGCTTTCTTTATCCTCTTATTTCTTTCTTTCTTCAGAGTTGGCGAAAGATAAAGAACATTGTGTTTTTTAAATAGACGTTTTTAATGCTTTATACGTGCTTTAAACAGTATTATAAAAAACATGTTTAAAACATAAAACATATTAAAAAATCGATTAAGCATGTTTTAAACAGTTTAAAGTATATTTCAACCATTTTTTATTTTTGCCAATCCTGCCTTTTATTTAAATTTACTTCATCTTATATAAAACTTTTATAGAAGCTATGAAATTTTGGTAATGATTTTTCGCGCTACGATGTCGCTGCTCTTATCTTAGCGCCGAGATACAGCATGTGATGTCTTCAGATATGTGTCAAAGCGCATAAAGAAATAAATATAATTTATATACATATACATAAATAACACTATTTAAAAAAAATAGGGAATATTGTTACCAACATACCACTTTGTTTTTAGACAATATTTCTTAAACAAAAAAGTAAAACGAAAAATAAAACTTTAAATACATACATAAATACAAACTAAGAAGTGTCTTCTATCAGATAATATAATAATTTTTATAATACTGTTTGTAATTTTGCAATAATTAATTTTTTCATAAGATAAGCAAAAATGAATGTCTGATAAAATGGACTCCAAAACTGACATAGTGGGCAGTAATGTTTTATTTTTGCAACATATTCCTATTCTTTTTCTTTAAGAAATTATCTGGATAAAATATTTGCAAGTGAATATATTTTGATAATTTGGGACGTGTCCAAAGCTCGTAGGATCTTCGGGAAGGAATTATGTCCATAGTGGCGATATGGAAAGATTGAGACTTGCGATTATAATAAATTTTTCTTTTTAATAGTCATG